TTGTTGTCGTTTCATCTGATCTGCGGCCGCATGTTTTGGATACTCGGGTGAAGAGAGGGGCAGAGCAGTCAACTGACCACTACCTGGCGGTGAGTTGGCTCTGTTGGTGGGGGAGGATGCCGGTCAGACCTGGCAGACCCAAACAAATAGTGAGGGTCTACTGGGAACGTCTGTCAGAGTCTCCCGTCAGATGAAGCTTCATCTCACACCTCCGGGAGAACTTCGAACATGTTTCAGGGGAGGTGGGGGACATTGAGTCMGAGTGGGCCGTGTTCCGTGCCTCCATTGTCGAAGTGACTTACCTGAGCTCCGCTCGTAAGGATGTTGGTGCCTGTTGTGGCGGCAAACCTCGAACCCGCTGGTGAACTCCGGCGGTGAGGGATGCTGTCAGGTTGAAGAAGGAATCCTATTGGGTCTTTTTGGTCTGTGGGACTCCAGAAGCAGCCGATAGGTATTGGCAGTCCAAGCGGATTGCGTCTAGGGTGGTCGCTGAGGCAAAAACTCAGTCATGGGAGGAGTTTGGAGAGGCCATCTTAAAAGACATCGGTATGGCTTCGAGGCAATTCTGGTCTGCCATCCGGTGTCTCAGGGGTGAAAGCGGTTTGCCACCAACAATATTTATGGTGGGATGGTGCGCTGCTGACCTCAACTGGGGACGTTGCGGGTCAGTGGGCGGAATACTTCGAAGACCTCCTCAATCCTACTGACACGTCTTCCCATGAGGAAGCAGAGCCTGAGGACCCTGGGTCGGACTCTCCAATCTCTGGTGCCGAGGTCACCGAGGTGGTTAAAAAGCTCCACCGTGGCAGGGCCCAGGGGTTGGATGAGATTCGCCCGGAGTTCTTTAAGGTTCTGGATGTTGTGGGGTTGCATTAGTTGATGCAATTCTACAATATCGCATGAACATCAGGAGCAGTTCCCCTGGATTGGCAGACTGGGGTGTTGGTCCACCTATTTAAAAAGGGGGACCACAGAGTATGTTCCAACTAAAGGAGGATCACACTTCTGAGCCTCCCTGGTAATGTCTATTTGGGGGTTCTGGAGTGGAGGGTCCGTCGGACAGGTGAATCTCGGATTCAGGAAAACCAGTGTGGTTTTCGTCCTGGTTGTGGAACAGCGGACCAGCTCTACACCCTTAGCAGGGTCCTAGAGGGTGCATGAGAGTTCGCCCAACCAGTCTACATGTGTTTTGTGGACTTGGAGAAGGCGTTCGACTGTGTCCCTCAGGGACTCCTGTGGGGGGTACTCCAGGAGTATGGGGTACCGGGCCCATTGATATGGGCTGTTAGGTCCCTGTATGACTGGTGCCAGAGCTTGGTCCGCATTGCTGGGAGTAAGTCAGACTTGTTTCCGGTGAGAGTTGGACTCCACCAAGGTTGCCCTTTGTCACTGATTCTGTTCATTACTTTTATGGACAGAATTTCTAGGCACAGCCAAAATGTTGAGGGGATCATTTTTGGTGACCTTAGGATCACATCTCTGCTTTTTGCAGATGATGTGGTCCTATTGGCTTCATCAGATCGTGATCTCCAGCTCTCACTGGAGTGGTTCGCAGCTAATTGTGAAGCGGCTGGGATGAGGATCAGTGCCTCCAAATCCGAGACCATGGTCTTGAGCCAGAAACTGGTAGCTTGCCGCCTCCGGGTCGGGGAGGAGGTCCTGCCCCAAGTGGAGGAGTTTAAGTATCTCAGGGTCTTGTTCATGAATGAGGGAAGATTGGAGCGGGAGATCGACTTGTGGATTGGTGCTTCATCTCCAGTGATGCGGGCGCTGTACCGGTCTGTCAGGTGAAGTGGAAGCTGAGCCTGAAGGCAAAGCTCTCAGTTTACCGGTCGGTCTACATTCCTACCCTCATCCATGGTCAAGAACTTTGGGTAGTGACCAAAAGAACAAGATCACGGATACAAGCGGCTGAAATGAGTTTCCTCCGCAGGGTGTCTGGGCTGTCTGTCCCTTAGAGATAGGGTGAGAAGCTTGGTAATCCAGGAGGGACTCAGAGGAGAGCCGCTGCTCCTCTACGTCGAGAGGAGCCAGTTGTGGTGGCTCAGGCATCTGGTTAGGATGCCTCCTGGACACCTCCCTGGTGAGGTGTTCCGGGCATGTCCCACTGGGAGGAGGCCCAGAGGAAGACCCAAGACACGCTGGAGGGACTATGTTTCTCGGCTGGCCTGGGAACGCCTTGAGATTCCCCCGGACAAGCTGGCCCAAGTGGCTGGGGAGAGGGAAGTCTGTGTCTTTCTGCTGCTGCCCCCACGACCTGATCCCAGATAAGCAGCAGAAAATGGACGGATGGACGGGACCCCCACCTTCCTACTAGACTAAGTGGAGAGAGACTAAAACTAGAGAAATATGATCTCTCCTTCCAACTCATTAAAAATCTAGCAGCAGCATTTTGAATTAACTGAAGACTTCTTAAAGAGTTTTTTGGATGCCCAGATAATAAAGAATTACAGTAATCCAGTCTAGACGTGAAAAATGCATGAATCCGTTTTTCTGGGTCCTTTTTGGACAAAATGTTTCTAATTTTAGTAATATTACACAGGTAGAAGAAGGCGGTCCTGGTAACATTTTTAATGTGGTGGTTAAAAGACATATCCTGATCAAAAATAACACCAAGGTTCTTTACATTAGAACTGGAGGCCAGATTAATGCCATCCAGAGAAGGTGAAAGGCTGCAAAGTTTCACCAGTGCTGTTTCTGTGCTAGGATGAGCTCTAAACCCTGACTGWWACTCCTCATACAGATTATTTCTATCCAGATGTTCACATAGTTGATTTGCAACTATTTTCTCAAAAATTTTTGAGATGAATATTTTAAGAAGACAAGTAGGTTCTTTGAACCTTAGATCCAGTTAAAAAGGGCTGATTTTTTTTATTTAAATGTGGGTGTAGGTGCATTTTATTTATCATTTGGTTAATTAGTTCATGTCCAAGTTTCTAAAGTTAGATCAGTTCATCCTCTGAAAACAGATGTTTCAATGGAAATCACCTCAAAGTGACTGAAACTTCARTGACATCATGTTTGCTGTGAGGCATGTTCATGGCTCTGCCATCTCAGTTGCATAAACAAGAGTAATTGCATATTTTAGGGGTAAAAAACCTGAAAGTGCATAATGAGGTAGAATTACACATTTGATTTACATATGTTATTTATAAAAAATAAATAACTAGGGTTTGTCACCACACGAGTGTCATAATGTGTTAATTCTCTGAGGCATGATGGCTCAGCTGTTGTCGCTCAGTAAAAAGGTTGCCGGATCAAATCCCAGCCTGGGTAGAGTTTGCATGATTACACCCCTTTGGATCAAGAGTCTGTCATGATTGTTTTCTTTGTAAATTTTTTTTCTGCACAGTATCTTATTTTAATTTTTATCTTAAATTTTATAGCCYATTTTATTTTTAAGTTTTATTATTATTATTTTCATTCTATTATTATTGCTACTGTTTATAATGTCACATAGCAATATATTGTTTTGTGGACTGAT